ATCTCCGTCACCGACTCAGAATCCTGCTTCAACTCCAGAAATTCCTAAGCCAATCTCTCCCGCTCAACCCGCGGAACATAACGAGTACTGAACATGTCTCGGAACTGATCCCAAGTAACCGCAGCCCGCTGCGCATCCGAATATGATCCCGTAGTCAACCTCCACCAATCCTTTGCCCCGAGCCTCAACAAGTTCAGAGCACACCTCACCCTCTGATCAGCTGGGCATGAACAGGTGAAGAAACATCCCTCCACGTCTGACAACCATCTCATAGCAACGATCGGATCCTGAACCCCATCGAAAGTAGGGGGCTTCGTATTATCGAAGTCCCGATACTGAAAGCCCCGACCGGCTCCTCCTCCTACCGCTGCGGCTGCTGTGGCAGCCGTCTCTGCAAGAGCTGCATAGCGCTCATCGAAGTACTCAACCATGGCGGTCATGATCGACCCAAACAACTCTGGCAACTCATCTCGGAACATAGCAACAACCTCATCATGCAGGATATCACAAATCCTAGCATCCAACTCATCCGTCCTCATCTGACCAATGACCTCGGGTGGTACAGATCCATCCTGATCACCCTCTCCTGATCCCGATCCTGAACCGGATCCTGCCCCGAAGCGTCTCGTAATCGCCATACTGCAGTACACCAATAAGATTCTCAGATACGCCTCATAACAACCTGGGAACTAACTGCTAATCAACACTCCAGGGGGTTGTGACTTCCTTGATACGCGTATGGGTCATGTGCTTTCAGTAGTACGTGCCCATACTACCTTCCACACCTACCCATATTTGTCTCAAGTATCACCACAACGCCCTAGACATATACACACATAGCAAGCGCTCAATCCTCACTCCTAGAGGAATACTGAGTATCTCACATAAGGAAACCCTAGGCTAGCAGGCATCACATAATCAGGCAATTCTATCATACAATTCCTGAAGATCCCTAGCCTAGTGCTAGCATGCTGTTCTAACATATCACATAATCAAATAACTTGTATGGTATTTTGGGGTCTACTTACTGGCTCCGGCTGATCGTACCCTCTGCATCCTCCTTTACTTATTTTGAAAACCATTTGAAAACCATTTTAAAAATCTTTCCTTGATTTGATACTGGAGTCACACGAACGTTCCTCCAATTCACTCAAACCAAGGCTCTGATACCAACTTGTAACATCCATAAAATTTAAGCCAATTTAAAACATTTTAAATCCGTTCAAAAACCATTAAGTTAATACAACTTGTTTTCAAAACAGTTTCAAACATCAGAGTATTCCCAGAACCCAATCATAAAATCATGAAATATGAGGAGCGGTACGATCACGCCTTTGCCTTGCCACGATCACCTGATGTACCTGAAACAATAAACTGAAACCGTAAGCTCGAAATCTTAGTGAGTTCCCCCAAAATACCCATACACACATAACCATACACATACAACAATAAACATCATACAATGGGTCCGGTCAACCATCAGGTTGGAATACCCCTGGCCCTCAACCGTCGGGTTGGAATACCAACATACCACGAGTCCAATCATCCTACTAGGATGGCATACTCTCGGCCCACAACCATCGGGTTGGAATGCCCATACTCCTACACATATAACAATCACTATTATTGGTCCAATCATCCCTCAGGATGGAATACCTCAGGCCCTCAACCATCGGGTTGGAATGCCAACCTACTATGAGTCCAATCTTCCTACCGGGATGGAATACTCCTGGCCCACAACCATCAGGTTGGAATGCCCACATACTAACAACATGTGCACTTACCAGATAATCACATAATAGTCCACATAAACTACGTACTAGGGCCCTATCATCCTACCAGGATGGAATACCCTCTACAACTGCTCAAATATGCGCACATAACCTAGGTAATCTCCTACCAGCATACAGACAGTCCGACCAACTACAGGTCACTAAGCATAGCCACATCCAGTCTACCAGGATGCCGATCTAACCATCCATCCTAGCATATAATCATCCATTCTAGCAGAATACCAAACTAACATATCACAACAGCAATTACTCAAATAACAATTCAAAGGGCCGGCCTTGGTGCCTTAGACCCTTGGGATAGTGAGGATAACTCACCTTGCAACTGCGGAAATCCTGCAAATCTCTGACCGCTGACTCACCGGAACTCCTAACTATCACATGATAATCACCGAGTTAGAATCCAACATGACTTTCTAGGCCAAGTGCCCACACCACTCCTTAAATCCATTTTCCTTTTATTGAGCCAAGTCCCAAAACCAAGTCCTTATGCAAAGCCCAATATTGGCCCAATTTACTAAATTGGGCCCATCTTTCTAATCGGGCCTAGATCCAAGGTCCATAATAATTATTGGGCCCAAAATACTCCATCTATATTGTTCAGTCACGGCCCAAGCCCAGCTAGCCCATAAACAGCCCAATACTTCATGGCCCAAATTCGAAAACCCAACAGAGGGCGTACGTTGGGCGTACTCCTCTGGTACGTGGGGCGTACGCGCGTCTGTACCAAAATCCTTCCATGTGCTTAATGGCTTAAGCACTTAAGCCCATATGCCAGATCTAGTGACAAAAAGGGCCTAGGACTCATAAAGTCTCAAACTTTATCCTGTTTGACGTCCATAAAGCTCTTAACTCAAGGTCTTAACCCATTAAGACCTTCCAACTTCACACATGGGACAACCAAAGCCATTGGGACCTCATTTTTCTCACTCAAGACCTCTCCTATGGTCTGAAAGGACAACTTAACTTAACCAAAACACATCATGCATCATATTGAGGATTTTTGGGACAAGAATGGTGTCAAAACTTCACAACATTTAGATCTACACAAAATAGATGTCAAGCAAGAAGCTTTATACCTTTAAATAGTTGCAAAAAGTGGTGCTATCTCAGATCTACAAGCTCCAGCCACCAAGGTTCCTTCTTTGCCAACCTCTTCTTTCTTCCTCTAAGCTTTTCTTTGCCAAACTAAGCTCCACAAAGCCAAACACACCCAACAATGGAGGTGGAACGGCTACCTAGGGTTTTTCTGAGGATAAGGGAACACATAAGGAGGCTGGGGTTGATCCTTTATGTTCTTTATATAGTGGCTGGCCCTAAAATTAGGGTTTAATGACTCTGAGCGTATGCTGGGTGTACCTCTAGTACGCTGGGCGTACACGTCCTTGCACCCGCGATCCTTTACTCTATTACGCTGGGCGTACCCACGCGTGTCCCAATTGCATGCATGGCCTACCTCGACAATTTTTTCCATTATGGGCCATAAATGTCACTTTCTTTAAAATGTCATAACTCCTTTATTCCAAATCCGTTCCCGACGAACTTTATATCCACGTAAAGGTGGCGAGAAGCCCTACGCTTCTAGCAACACACCCCGACCCGAAACCTTCTCGAATGAAACCCATTGCCCACAAAAGACCGAAACGCCCTTACTCTTGATCTCGGAAATCCATAAATAAATACTTTTAGAACGGGGCGTTACAAGTAAGATTAATAACATGTACCGCTGTATTCAAAGATTCTCCCCAAAAAGAATCAGGTAATCCTGCATGTGAAAGCAAACATCTAACTCTTTCACCCAATGTTCTATTCATCCGTTCTGCTAAACCGTTCAACTGTGGTGTCTTTGGAGGAGTCTTTTGGTGCCGAATACCTTGCTCTCTACAATAAGCATCAAAAGGACCAATGTATTCACCGCCATTATCTGTCCGAACACACTTCAATTTCTTCCCAGTTTGTCTCTCAACCAAGGCATGAAACTGCTTAAACACATCCAATACTTGATCTTTAGTCTTCAAAGCATAAACCCATACCTTCCTTGAATAGTCATCGATAAATGTGACAAAATACAAGCAACCCCCAAGTGTCCTAGTCTTCATGGGACCACATACATCGGAATGTACCAGATCAAGTATATTCTCCTTCCTGGAAGGAGGATGGCTCTTAAAGGAAACTCTATTTTGCTTACCTGCCAGACAATGAGAACATCTCTTGAAATTCACATCATGCACAACGGTCAACACATTTTTCTTCAACAACAAAGACATCCCCTTTTCACTCATGTGACCAAGTCTCTTATGCCACAAATCGGTCATGTCACAATATATCGATGCATGGATTGATTCTTTGGAGATCTTCGGATGTGTCATGTATAACTTTGAGCTTCTTTCACCTCTTTCCACAATCAAAGAATCACGAGTGAGTTTCCAAATGCCACCACCAAAGGTACTATGGTAACCGTCATCATCAAGTAAGCCAGCAGAGATCAAACTAAGTATAATATCTGGAACATGTTTCACATTGTGTAAAACCAACTCCAGTCTCAAACTTTAAACAAATATCTCCGACACCAACAATCTTTGATAACCCATTATTACCCATTTTAACATTCCCAAAATCACCAGGAGTGTAAGATGTGTAAAAATCCCTTTGTGATGTCACATAACAAGTAGCACCACTGTCAACAACCCAACTCGAATCATCATGTGCAAGATTAACCATATCATAATCACAACAAATAAAGAACTCTTCGGTAGTAGTGTTAACTTCAGCAGTATCATTACCACCATCATCTTTCTTGTGGTTTTTCTTTTGATTGTTGTAATTTGCCTTCTTGTTCTTCCTTTTCAACTGTCTGCAGAATCGTTTTGTGTGCCCTTTTCTACCACAATGATTGCACTCATAGTCAGCAAACTTTCCTTTAGATTTACTGTGATGCTTCCCTTTGTTATTCGGACCTCTACTTTGACTTCTCCCCCTGCTTTCTGTGACCAAGACATCTGAATGTGAAGAGGAACCTTGTGACTTTCTTCTCATCTCTTCATTTAAAACATCGCATTTAGCCAATTCCATGGTGATAATACCATCTGGTGCAGAGTTGGACAAGGATGTCCTAAAAATTTCCCAAGAATCCGGTAAAGTGCCAAGGAGCCATAAACCTTGTAACTCATCTTCAAACTTGATACCCATTCCTTCAAGCTGATTAATAATTCACTGGAAAGAATTCAAATGATCACTAATAGGATTTACATCATGGTACTTCAAGCCAATCAACTGCTTAATCAAGAAAAATTTATTGTTCCCGATCTTCCGAGCATACAACTGCTCAAGCTTGTTCCGCAAAGTACGAGCATGAGTCTCCGCGCTAATATGGTTCAAATCATTATCATCAACCCATTGTCGAATATACCTACAAACCTTTCTATGCAAAATATTCCACTCTGCATCTGTTTTATCTTCAGTTTTTTCAGTATTAAACACATGCATATAATAATCCTTGACATAAAGAAGGTCTTCCATCTTGCCTCTCCAAACTTGATAATTAGAACCATTCAAGTTCACAATCCTATTTGTATTAGCTTTCATTGTTCAAACAAGTAAGCTAATAACAAGAACCAGGCTCTGATACCAATCTGATGGGAAAAACGCAGCCACAACGGTAAATAACAATGCAGAATAATACTTCGTTTGACTAAACTATTCCCGTCTTGAATGAACCTTTTAGGATGCAAACAAATAGGATAATTTCAATTGCAACAAATCAGCCCCAATGCAAGTTATATGATCAATATAATCAACCCAAAACAATAAGTAATCAACCAATAAAGACACCGGAATTTTAGCGTGGAAACCTCTCAAGAAAAAGAGTAAAACCACATGACTACTAGAGCCGCTTCAAATCCACTATCACCAATATTAGAGCAATACAAAGTCTTCTCTAGATGTACTAGAGGCATACAATAATCATCATATACTTGGAACTAAATCACATCAAGCATATGGAATCCAATAAACAAAGACAAAGAAGAATATCACCAAAAACGTTACTGATTTCCAGCAGCAAACAGAAGCGATGATTCCCGAGTCTCTGGAGCTGATCTCGACAATACAACCGTTGGATCTGAAGGTCTCGATGTTGGGAAGCTGCTGTCCAAAAATGAGAGAAAACGGACCGTTGGATCTCCAGGAAATTACCAAACAATGCAGGTGTATCTTCAAAAACGGGAATTGAGAAAAAAACTCTCTTTTGCTTTTTACTCTTTCTAACTCTCTTGGTGGCTGAAAAGTATTGTGTGTTGTTGAAATTAGGGCATGTAACATACATATATATATATATATATATATATATATATATATATATATATCAAGGTTGCAGAAAACGTTAGACGTTAGCTAGTCGGTGGACTGGGGTCTAGGGATTAATCGGCTAGGCGGAGATTAATCGGGGACCATTAATTATTAAGAAAATTATTTAAAAATTTATAAATCTAAATTTAATCGTAAGAATATAAATAAATAATCATAAAAGTTTAATAATAAGTTTAACAAGCAAAACAATTTATCATCAAATTAATAAGAAAAGTTATTCAAATTTTAATATATCTTAAGAAAAGAATTAAATTTGGGTTTTGTATATTTGAAAACATAGAAATTTTGAAAATTTTGGAGAAAACTTTAAAATATAATTTTTTTAAATTTTTTTATATATTAGTTGAACATTGAAATACTATAAACTTTTGAAATTTTGAAAATTTTGGTTTAATATTGAAAACTTTGAAAATTTGAAAATTTGGCCGATTAGGCCGCCTAGGACCGATTAGGACCGCCTAGGACCGATTAGAACTGTCTAGCTCCGACTTTGACCCCCTTTGACCAAAACCGATTAAGTCGACCGATTAGCCTTAATCCTATTCGGTTGAAGACCGTCTAGCGATTAATCCCCGATTAATCGGCCGCCTAGACCGATTTTTACAACACTGATATATATATATATATATATATATATATATATAGATATATATATATATATATATATATTATATATATATATATATATATATATATATACATGGGCTAAAGAAGTGGGCTTTCCTCATGGGCTAAAAAACCCAAGAGAAAACCCAACATTATATATATATATATATATATATATATATATATATATATATATATATATATATGGGCTAAAGAAGTGGGCTTTCCTCATGGGCTAAAAAACCCAAGAGAAAACCCAACATTAGAGGCCACAAAAATCACCCCTAATACTTTTACCGACAACAACGCTAATGCTCTAAATCGCTGTTAATGCATTTGTCGCCAGTTTTGCCCTAAATCGCTACTAATTCTCATGGCGTCGGTATTGCCTCCTGTCACCACTAATGGTTGTAACACCCATTTCACGATTCCCGGTTTGTATTTCTTTTTAATGTTTAAAAAGAATAAATAAATAATAATAATAATAATTAAAATAAATAAAATTTAAATAATATAAACTAGTAGGGTTTCCCTTGCGTTGCACGGGGCGAAAGGTGTTCGTTTTGTGGGTATGTTCATGTGTTTCATACATTGTTGTTATCTGAAGTACATTGCCTGAATTGCTAATAAGAAATGTAAAGATATATCATCATAGTAATTAAAAACTACAATGCTATATTTGAATAGATTTTAAAAAAAGATGAAAATACAATCCTATATTAGAGTAGTTTTAAATGAAAGTACCATGCACTCTACAACAAACTAAGAAAGAACATCTTGATAATTTACCCCATACCTCACCCCTCTTCTCTGATTTCATTTCTTTGAATGATCAAATCATGCACCTAAAGCATTATGATTCTTTGATTACAAATATATAAAATGTATCTATTACGCATAATTAGAATAAAAGTAAAATGCTATATCTGGCATTAAAGGGATGCCACTTTACCTCATTAACGATACTTAGTTGAGGAGGATAACCATAATCATACTAAATTCAAATGTCTGACTCCTAAACTTGAAAATCGATCAATAAAACAGCAGCAACCAGAAAATACGTTTATATACGTTATTTTCCAGGTCTTTTCTAGGTCTAAACAACATGGCCTTTATTCAAAAAATCACAAAAACACTTCTCCCTCACTCAATATTCCAAATCAACCTCTGGGCAGTTGATTTTGATCATTTGTAAGCGAACTTTGATAAGAATAAAATAAAAAAGGTAAATTGGACATAACATTGAAAAAAGTTGAATTGAAAGTGAGTTGTAAAGAAATTATTGTTATTTCTTTCATTTAAGCCTCTAAAAGACATTATGCATCCACTTAAAATAGGTTTAAATGCCAATTAAGGGCTAAATGCAAAAATAACAATATACGTTGTTACTTCAAATCTACTCTAATTTTTTTTCTCATTAAAGCATTGTACCTTGAAAGTGCAATACTATAACTGGTTGTATTATGAAATCAACCACCAATTACAACCTTGTGCTTTCAATATTATGCTTTAATTAGGTAAAAATAAAATAAATTTTGTAGAAATAGAAAAGAAACTAAGATTAAAAAAATTACCAATAAAATTATAGTATTGTACATTTAACGGCTATTTGAACGGTAAAATGATCCAGATTCCCCCTTACAACTCACTCTTGTCATTGAAAGAGCAGCACATATTAATATTTATCAATATTAATTTTACAAAGCCATGCCCCAACAAAAACTACCCGACATTTCACATTTGAGACAAACAATCTAAAGATTTTTTTATATGAAATATGGAAATTTTCTTAAAGCAACATATATTATAATTCTATGAAAAAACTTACAAATGAAATCCAAAATAATGGTTTGATTTCTTTGACTTCTCATGAAAAGAAAATAAGTTGAATATAAAAAGAACATGAAGAACTATACATGAACTTTGCACTTGCGTGGTTGAAATTAGAGAGTATTTAACATCTGTTCAGATTTAATCCATGACTGTTTTAATTATCATTCATAAATAAACTGAAATCAACTTTCTTGAATTATATGAAATGAATCTCTTCAAATCCAGCACTTGCTTAAACAAAAAATATTATATTTTTGTAACAAATGGTTGTCAATCATAAGGTCGTCAAACTTCTTAAACTTCTCCTGTTCACTGCAAAAATTCTTTCCAAAATTACCCTCCATATTCTTGACTTTAAAAATACATAAACATATAATAAAGATAATATTATTTTGTTATTTAAATGTCAAATCCATAAAAACCACTTTAGTTGGGTACTTTAGTAACCGGAAGAATTTGTTTATGGTTTAACCACTGAGAGTTTGTTCTTTCCGGTAAGCAATTGAAAAAACAATGAGAAGAACATTTTTCTGGTTAAAGTTGTTTTCTTCTCATTATTATTATTTTTTTAAAATTAAAATGGCTTTCATGGAATCTGGTCTTATTTAAAAAAAGGTGAAATTGTAATTAGGTTGTTTATATTGCTACTTGATACTGGTATAAATTGGGTAGATAACTCCACCCCCGATTCCTCTTCAGCCAAAGCTTGAGAAATACAAACAATTAATTAAAAAGGGTATATACAAACAACATGAAAAAAAAAACCGAAATTGCACATACCTAACCTATGTAGACTTTTCATTTCTGGTTAAAGTTGTTTTCTTCTCATTATTATTATTTTGAAGTCAGATCTCACGTTCTGTTTAGTAGTGCTCTTCTAAGCTTCTTTTGGAGCTCTCTTGTACTGTTTTTTTTTTTTTTTTTTTCAATTCCCATGCGAACCTCATTTATTTAGAGTGAAAGAAAAACATCTTTATGGTTCTATTCGAACATTGTTTTAGAATGGTTTTATTTAGTATTTTAAAACCTCTAGACCACAATAGACTTATCAGCCGAAGGATTGAAACCTCTATGATTGAGCTCCATGTATTCTTGACAAAGTGCACAATACTCACAACACAAGTGAGTTAGGCACTCAGATGCAGGCTCTTCCATGAGTCTGAAACGACCTCTTACTTTGGTTCGATAATTGCATGAAACAATACATGGCATCCCAATAATCAACGCCACTACTGTGTAAATCAAGCCACTCATTTCGCAAGCTGTAAAAAAAGTTAAAATATTCAGATTCTAGAAAACAGTGTAATTATATTTAATATGGCTATTTCATTTTCAAATATTTACAAGTTCCACCATTGTCGATGGTTGCTGCAAGTTGTCCGAATGACACACATGGACAAAACAGTATAATGATAGCTGAAAACCAAAAAAAAAACGATCATAAAGTATAGGCATTTCCTTAATACACCATCACAATCTACCTAATTGTATTACCTAAAAAGGAAGATCAATTCCAAGACAAAACTAAATACCACTTTCAGGATCATCCATGCAGTCAAACAGTAATGGAAATAACGAACCATTTATACAACTGCAATTGATGTTCACCAAATTTAAAATCAAATAATGAGATACAATTAACAGTAAATTTGAATTACTATACCGATTAGCAAATGCTTTTAATCGGAAATCGTAATTGAATCAACAGAAAATGAACCTAAAAAGTTAAGAGTTTTTACCTCAAGGATGGGGAATAAGAGAAATAGGAAGCATCGATTGCCATCATCGGACCAATTTCAGTCACAATAACCACCACCACCCTCCATTCCAACCATCCCCATTATAGCAGGCAGTGGCGCTGCCTGCGTCTCCTCCACTAAGTCGGACAACAGCAACGATTGTGCAGCCACCGGACCGATTTCACAAAGGAATCAAACTTTCACGTAAGTGGAGAATCTCGCAACGGAAAATTTTAGGGTCCGTTTGGTTGTGAAAAACTGTTTTCATTTTCTAACAAAATGTTTTCAGAAAATAGAGTTGAGTTTTCATTTTCAATTTTCAGTGAAAATTTTAGAAAACGCATTTGGTTGGAAGCGGTGGAGTTTTCATTTTCCATCTTAAAAATTTGGAAAATTTTGAAAAACTATAAAAATCACTTTTCAAATTTACATACAATTTGGAAAACTGAAAATTTTCATTTTCTTAGAAAAATTTGAAAAACTGAACGAACCAAACGCGTTTTCAAAATTTCCGTTTTTCTTGGAAAATTTTCCTAGAAAACTGGAAAATTTTCCACAACCAAACGCACCCTTACGTTTTCAATTTTGGAAGGACCTTTCATTTTTACCAGATTGAGAGAAGCATAGAAGGGAAATCTAGTAGAGAAGTAGAGCAGTGGGGAATGCGAGCGATAGAGGGAACGGAAGGAATTAGTAAGCCGGTGAACCTTTCAAAGAAGCAAATAAGCAAACCTTTAAATTTAAGGGGTTAAACCTGCAAAGTAGTAGGCCCAATGTCCAAAGTAGAAGAAAGTAATATTAGAAGGACCAAAAGTGACTACAAACCAAAAGGCCTTTGACCTAGTGTAATGTCATTGGTTCAAGTCTTTTAGGAGACATATGTGGTATTTTAGGAATATGTTTAGTCCCGTTTCATATATATATATATAGATATATATATATATATATATATATATATATATATATATATATATATATATATTCAATCCAGAATATTTTTTATTGTGAGATGAGAACAAATATGGACCACACAAATTTTCTTAATTAAAATTATAAAATAATATTCATATAAATAAAAAAATAGTGAAATACAATTAAATAAGTCGTTAACCAACATCACCCACCATCATCACCACCCACCACCACTTATCACCACTACCTACAACCTACCACCCACTAACCACTAACCACCAACCACCAACCACCACCATCCACCCATCACCACCATCCACCAACCACCACAACCCACCACTCACCACCTACCACCACCATCTACCCACCACTCACCACCTCTACCAACTACCCATCACCACAACCTACAACCCACTACCACCACCCACCATCCGCCATACTACCCACCTCCTCCACCTGTCACCACCCATCATCACCACCATCACCCGCCACCACCACCCCCACCCCCACCACCACCACATCACCCACCACCACTTGCAATAACCACCACCCCCACCACCATCACCCACCCATCACCACAACCCGCTTCCACACCCCCCCTCATCAACTTCACCATCACCACCACTCGCTACCACCACCCACTACCACCACCCGTTGCCACCACCAACCACCAACCATGTGACATCCCCATTTTCACGGTCAGAAAAGACCGATTTTGTTTATGGTTTATAAAAATCAGAGTTACCTTTTAATAAAAATGTTACGGAATTTGTTCCTAGAAAATACATGATAAATACTTTATCAAAGCATTTCCGAAGAAATGTATTTTATTCATTTAAAACATTTGGGATGTCGTCGTCAATACAGGAACATAAGCATAAACAGAACTTGCATTCATTTACACTAGTGATCTACATCTCTTTTAAATCTCTCAGTGTAAAGTAGCTTCATATCGACACCTGTGATACAAATAAGCTTGAGTGGGTCAGGTTGGGAAACCTGGTGAGTACATAGGGTTTTCAACCCACAATAATACAATTATTATGTTTGAACATCGAAGAATCAACCCATTTACCCATCCCCATTATCTCCTTTACTCTTAAGGATCTACCCTAAGAATCGGCTATTCCTCGTTCATTCATTCCGAAGTCCATCGTCACCACGGTTTACATAATAGGCACTAAGACCATAGTCGCTAGGTTTATATAGCAGACACTAAATCCATAGATGTCAATGCTCGCTCGTAAAGCACTAATTCCATAGCTGCATTCATTAGGCACTAAGTACATAGCTACCAACGTTTATCTAATAGGTACTAAGTCCATAGCTACCATCGTTTATCTAACAGACACTAAGTCCATAGTTGCCGATGTTATTTATTAAGCACTAAGTCTATAGTTGCCAATGTTCACTTATATCATCTTTCATCTCTCATCATTCATCTACCCATGTTTTACTCAACATATTCGTAGATATAAAATACATATACATTTTAAATTATTTAAAAAATGTATAAAATCGTTCATCCAGCATAGATAGCAACTATACTGGTTATATGCACACATAGCACGTAATTTATATAAAATACTTCATATCTATGGGTAAGATGAAAGTAACTATACACTCACTTTTTAAAGTGATGATTCCAAACTCGGACAGCGCTTTGCTTCTAACGATTCTAATTTCCTTCGATGGAACCTATCATTATTATTGCTAAATTTTAGTCTAATATTTATTGCGACTAATTATCAAGTAAGGAACAACCAGGTAGGATCATATCAGAGGTAGGGTCCGTTTGGTATACGAAGTATAATGTTTGGAAATCCCACTTTAAAAACCTCACTAAATCACAGCCTAGACATCATTCCCGTAAGTAGATCAATCAGTATAACGAATTTGAATCACTGATAGATCTTATTTATAGGTTCATAATAACGGTAATATATTTAAATATAAGCTATATTTAAAGTAGCGTAGGCGTATCTCACTTACAGCTGGTTTTGCTAAAAACCGGCCTTCGCTGAAGTAGAGTTTCTGAGCTGAAAGCTCTTCTTCTCGGAGCCTTCGGGCGCCCCGAGGCTTTCCTCTAGTGACTTGAGGCTACTAGGGCTTTTAGGAGGGTTTTTGGGAGTCTAGAGAGAAGTTATAGAGAGAAAGAAAGGCTTATGGTGTGAAGAAAATATGAAGAATTCATCCTTTATTTATAGGGGTTTGATCATAGAGTAGGTCCTAAGTTTCGTCTGTATCTTCCGCATACGAGATATGTTTTCTATGTTCTTTATATACACGTGTTGGTATTTATGAGTACTACAACTTTCATTTAGACCCCGTCGGCTAATTCTCATTCTATCTCCAATTTGCAAAACTGTATCGAATTTATCACGCTCGAAGAGTATGGATTAAGTTTCGTCCATATCTTTAACATACGAGCTCTATTATCGATGTTCTTTATATCCAAGCGTTGGTATTTACGAGTACTACAACTTTTATTTAGATCCCGTCGGCTAATTCTCATTCTATCTCAGAGTTACAAAACTGTATCGAATTTGTCGCGCTCGAAGAGTAGGGACTAAGTTTTGTCCATATCTTTCGCATACGAGCTCCGTTTTTCGACTGTCTTTTTATCGCTGAAATCCTATTAACGATATCTTCATTTTTTTAAGATTATTTTGGCTAAAAATCGACCGATCTAAAATTCGAATTCCGGGCTACACACTGTTATGCCAAATCTTAGAAAATTCATAACTTCCTCATACGAAGTCAGATTTGGGCGTTCTTTTTATGTATGATCTCATTTTAACGTATACTACAACTTTCGTTTAGATCTCTAAGGCTAAAAAGTATTTTATCAAAAATTCACTTTTTACGATTCCCGGTGTCGTGCCGGTTTTGCCGTAAAACTTCGACAAGTCATAACTTCTTCGTTATAACTCGGATTTCGGCGTTCTTTATATGTACGGAACCCTTGTAACATATACTATAACTTGGTTAATATTATTCATTGTAAATAATCTTCCATAAAAAAGTCATATTTTCACGTTTATTGTCTCTAAATTGACTTAGCCCGAATCTGCGGGCGTTACAATTATCTCCCCCTTAGGATGATTACGTCCCAGAATCATCAACGAAACAGGGCTTGTATAATGACTCCATACGTTATCTTTTCATCCTAGGTAATAATCATAAATATTACGTCCTTTCAAATGAGTATCTAACTCTTGGACTTCTTGACTACTGGCGGTGCTCAATCTTGCACCCGCTCTTCACACTATGTTGGACTTTCAATTGTAACCTTCGAGTTACAATCTTGACCCTTATTGGAAACTCCTGATCCTTTGTAAACAGACTTTACTTCGATTATCGTAACAGACCGATGGGTCATGTTTTAATGACCTCTCGTCGTATGATGCAACGCTTAGACTCAGGTCTTTTAGAGTCAAATTCCAGGATGGAATATACCTTCCTTCGTGTTCTAATGTGATATAATCACATTTTAGCATGTAGCATCTCTTTCTATCAGCTTCTTACTTTAATAACGATCGCGATACTTCTATTGATCGCTTTGATTATCTTTCACTTCAATTTTCTAGATGTTACATCGAACTTGGTTCTCAGAACCATGTAACATACTCATTTTAGTCAGACTCAATTTGATATGACCACTAGGGTCGGAATAACAATCATTTTCTTAGACATTACCGAAACGATGGTAACAACATAATTGAACAAAACGGAATCAATTACTAGCTTCTTGTTAACCTTGTGACTTTCCCTGATCCAAGTGTGAGTCTTGTGCTTCCGGTAGTATAGGCCTCTACTACCATTCACACCTACCCATACTCGTCCCAAGTATTGTCTCGCAGTTGTCCAAGTCATTATAAAAAAAAAAAAAAAAATTAACACATACAAATGTGCCCAAACAATCATATAATTTTCCCTAGACTCTACTAGGACTTCTTCCGTGTGTATCTTCAATCATCAATTCTGGTTCAACTCGGTTGGTGATGGAAATGTCAGACGATGGGATAACTTCATGGATTATACCAAAAATCTTTCTTTTTGCTAATCGAAAGTGTGTTTCTCCCGTACTAGACGTATTATTTATTAGACGCATTCTAAAGGCAAGATATCACAC